TGAGTAGATGATTGGTGCGGTAGTCTGTGTTACTTCCATAGGTGTGGTAACTGTAGCTCTCTCTGCTGAGACCATTGTGTAGCTGGACTGGAATCCGTGCAGCAACTGCTCTCTTTGCTCTGATAGGTGGTTGAGGTGTAGGGTACAGCTTGGCTGGAGTTTCAGGATGAAAGAAGCACTGTCTTGGTGGAGGACACCGGCCCTGGTGTTTTCTTCTCCACTGTTGACACATTGCAAGGTTTCTCCATGTAGCTTACTGTGTCTGTGCTCTCCTCTGAAGGTTTTCTTAAAGTATATAACCCACAGACCGAGATTTTAATATTTTAAAGTTTCAGACTCCTTTGCTCAAGTTGTAGATAAGGCTGAAGCATGGCCAGTGTAGAGTCTGGAACACAGGCAGCTCACAATTAATGTTACAGGGTTACATGTCACCTGAGAATTTTTTGTTTTTGTTTTTTTGTTGTTGTTTTGTTTTTATGCTTTTTTTTTTTTTTTTTGAGACAGAGTTTCTCTGTGTAACAGTTCAGGCTATCCTGGAACTCACTCTGTAGACCCAGCTGGGATCTTGGAGATTCTGAGGGTGGGGTTACCACCAAGGGCTAGGAGCGGAGAGCAGTGACATCCAGCACGTCTGCTGTGGCTGGCACTCAGCTGAAAGGTGCTGGCTTGGTGCTGGCTTCTACAGAAAATGTCCCTCATTTCGAATGAGCATAATCACTGAGTTGTAGAATGGTTTGAGAGCATTTAGAGCCAAGACTGCCAGCAGCTAAGTAGCTTTAAAATAATGGACGGTTCATTGCAGCAAGCTCAGAATAATCGTGAGGCTCTGTTGCTGAACACTGCTCTAGGAGCCCTTTGAAGGTCATCACTAGATTGTCTGTCATCCAGCAGCAGAAGTTGCTCTTCAATCCCTTGGCTGAAATTTCACAGGCTGGCCATTCAAACCACTTGGTTAAGCTGAGGATGGTTGCATACAATGATGAGACTTATGTATTGAGTCTACTTCTGCTATCTTTAATATAGTGTGCCACGTTAGACCTGAGTACTAATGAGGTCGGGCAGCTAGTATGAGCACTTAGTTCAGCTCTCTGATCTGCAGAATGTCCTGCCTAATGAGGTGCTGAATAGAGAATAAACGTTGTTTTAAGGTGGAACTAGTCAGAATTCACCTCTTGAGACTTGAACTTCTTGTATCTTTTATTATAAGTTGTGGCTAGCTTAAAAAACAAGAAATGTGGGTGCTGTCCCTAAAGAGTGGTGTGCAACATAGGAGGTCCCTGGCCTTGCTTGGGAGCTGGAGCAGGTGACCACTTTGGAGCTAGTTACAATGAATTGCATCTAGATTGTTCCAGAGTATGAACCTCTGGTGGCCCAGGAGAAATCCCCGTGCTGAGGTGCCGTCCCACAGTCCTGCAGGTGTGCTGGTGCAGTCCAGATGGCTCACACTTTGCTTGACTGCCTAGTAATAAGCCTTCTATGTGAGCTCCTTCTGAATGGTTGTTTCAATTAAAGGGCCACTATCTCAGATAAAAATGAAAACTAATCTATGGGGGAAAACTCATGAGTAAATGGACTTTTTATTCCTATATTAGCACATCTGAAAGAATTGTTCGTTCATTGGTCGAATCCTTTGTCTTAAACTTTGACTGCTTCTTAGAAAAATGTCTCTGAGTCTAATTATCCCTGAGACAGAACTTCCTTGTGTATTTATTCAGTGCAGCTCGTGGGTGGTTGGTTGACAGAATGCATGTGAGGCTTGCTTACTGCCTGCCTCCTAAGTGTGGTTCACCTGTTCCCAGGCCTTGCCTTGTTCATAGACCAGCTTCCCACAAGGGCTTTTTAAAAAAGAAACTAGAGAAGGGACTTTAGGCTGCGAATCACTGGCCAGTCCTTCCTCCTTATGGCGTCCATTGCTCTTGTGTGTCCTTGACTGTTGGTAGTTAGCAGTGTGTCTGCCAGCAGCTCCAGATATCTCCAAGGGTTTGCCCTGGCCTCTGTTGCCTTCCGGGATCCTACACAGGTGCAGAGGCCATCTCCTCTGCTCCATCCCAGCCCCTTTCTACCAGGCTAGGCATCGGAGAGCACACCTTACAGCTCCACCTGCTCGCTCTCCTGGTGTCTGTCTGTGAGGGCGCGGTCTGATGCCACCGCAGGCTCCAGGGCTCTCAGCTGGCCCGTCGAGGACAAGAACCTTCTAGACTCGTTGTTCTGAAGACCAGGGTGGATGTGACAGACCTGGAAACCAGTTTCCTGTGCAGAGCTATGGCCTTTTCTTTCTACTTTAGCTTATACAGCCAGAACCCAGAACTTTATTTTACACTTGATCTTGCCTTCCTTCTCTCTGCCTTAAGAAAACATTGGTAATATTATTCAAGCCACTGAATTCTGCACTGTACACTTGACTTCCCAGGTGGCTTAGAGTGCTTGCCTAGCATGTGTAATACCCTGTGTTTGATCCCAACAATGCAAACTATAAAGCATTGAAGGTGGCATATTTTATATTTTACAGAATATCACTTATTTCCCTAGAAACTGATGCTTTTTATTAAATGTCTTATATTATTTTCCAGTTGTATATACAAGTGTCTGAATTTTGGCTTTGGGCTTAATACTTCTATAGTGCAGAGGGTTGTTGGTAGAATTTGCTTTGATACTCACTGTTGGAGGAATTGAAGACACCAGAGCTGCTGTTAGGGACAATGAGATGTTAGCACCGCTTGTGGATTTGATGTCAAAGGTGCAGAGCAAGGGGCTTGTGACCTTGGTTTCAGGTGCCCCTGGGGGTTGCATGCCAGATAATGTACATTATGATCCTAGCAGTAGCAAAAATAGTTAGGAAGTAGCAGTGCAAATAATTTTATGGCTGGGTCCACCACACCATGTAAAACTGTTCTAAAGGGTCACAGCATTAAGAAAGTTGAGAACCAGTGTTCCAAAACACAACTGGCCGAGAAAAGGCCTAAAACCAGGTAAGACCAGGCAGCCATATCAGTGTGTAGGTGAGTCTGGCCTTAAATTCAAAGCGGTCCTCTTGCCTCACTCAGCCTTGAGTGCTAAGGTTACAATCAGATTGTTCTTTGAAGCCTGTTTCCTAATTACCCTAGAAGCCAGGCGGTGAGGCAGGAGCCTTTATTTAATCCCAGCATTCGGGGGGGGGGGGGAGGCAGGCAGCTCTTTGTGGGTTTGAGGCCAGCCTGGTCTACAGAGTAAGTTCCAGGACAGGCTCCAAAGCCACAGAGAAACCCTGTCTCGAAAAACCAAACAACAAAATGGTGGAAGAAGCAGATGAGTAGCGTGTGAGAGAGCGTTGGGCAGTGTCTGCGCTCTGTGGTCCCAGCAAAGAGTCGCTGTGTCTTGTCTCATGGGATTTATAATACAAACTACGAAGTCAATTAAGTGACGGCCTAGAAGATCCGGAGACCGAGTGACTCTTGCTCTCAGATGGTTTGTAAATAAAGTGCACCAGGGAGAAGGTTCTTTATATTCAAGTTCATTGACTTTGAGGTGGAACCAAGATGGGCTGGGTGGAATTGGGGCTCCATAGCAGATAGATTTTCATGGCCAAATCATGGGCACTTGAGGGCACACGGGCTGCTGAGAGCCTCTGGGCCTGGGCTGGGTGTTGTCTGTGTCCCTCAGGTACCTGTGCAGGCCACCCATGAGAATTCAGGCCCTGTGCCCTGTGGTCCGTCTCCCTAGAGCTGCCTTTGTTCTGCTGACAGCAGCGTAGGGCCCACACTCCTGGGCTCCAGGGATTTTTCTTTCTCCTCATGGGCAACACACTGCTTGCTTAAGTTAAGCCATTGCTCACAGCTGCTCTGCTTCCTGAGCTGGGGAACTGTGCAAAGCAAAATCATTCTGAACTGGCGTTGCCCACGAGCACTGTTGGGATCAGGAGAACGCTGTGCACATGCATTTCCTCACGTCACATTTGCAGGCCTTACTGACCAAACATGGGACTTAACGAATTATATCTCATTATTTCTGAAAATGGCAGCAGAGCCTGTGACAGATCAAATGCTGTCACATGAATGTGCCATACGAAGCAGAGGCAGGAGCCACAGTGCATACGAGATGTAGTTGCATCCGTGTGTCATGTATGTTTAGATGGCTGCCGCTGCTTTGGTGGCATACGAGGCACAGAGTTCTCTGTGACAGTGTGAGTAGGTCACATGTCAGCCAGTCCTGTCAGTCACTTGTTATTGTTTGAATGCACTAAATTATTTACTAAAAGATTTTCACTTTGGCAACTGAACATAGAACCTCATCCCTGTGTAACCCTAGCAATCGGGAGGATGAGGCAGGCAAAGTTTAGGGCCAGCCTGGAATGCAGAGCAAGTTGATATTAATGCAAACAAACAAAATGTGTATCATTTTGATTTGGTTTTAAGTCAGAAAAGAGATGTGTACATTATTCGAGTATACAGTAATTTTTTTCTTTTGAGTCTTCCTTCCCATATAACCTCAGTCTAGGGCCTTTACCTCACCAAATGTCATGGAAAGAACTAGCAAACATGTCATACTTTCTCTGCCTTAAAGGGACCATGCTTAAATCTATCCAAACCCTTTTATCTCCTTTATAAAATAAGTACACCTTTGTTTGTAGAACATAGAGAAGGTGGCGTACAGAGAAAACCATTACCCTAACTTGCCTCACTGCAAGCACTCTGTACCCTTTCTTAAGCCTCTGTGACAGTGCAGGCACACTCCTATGGTGCTTGACTGTTATGTCTTGTTAGTATTGATGTTACATACATGCTATTAAGCCCTCCAAGGTAATGTGATGATGGCTAAAGGACTGAATGGTCAGCCTCAGCAGGTCAGCATGAAAGACTGGGCAGGGTGTATGTGGGCAGGGTGTGGAGGAGCCGTATCGGGGGTGGGGGGTTGTCAACAGTAGAGCCATGTTCCCTTGGTGCTGTGTCTTCCTTTTCCATGCCCCGTGCTCCCTCCAGGAGTGTCAGTCAGCTAAGCCACTGTCTTCCTGTGCCCTCCTGTAGGTAGCTGCGATTAACCCAAACCATCCACTTGCCCAGATGCCCTTGCCTCCATCAATGAAAAACTGCATCCAACTGGCAGCCTGTGAGGCCCACGAGCTCCTGCCCATGATCCCCGACCTCCCAGCCGACCTGTTCACATCCTGCCTCACCACTCCCATCAAGATTGCTCTGCGTTGGTAAGTGTCTGTAGTCCAGGTCCCCATCCCAGGGACCCACGGTATTATCCTGGTCACAGCGTGTGTCCTGCGTTCTAATGTCTCAGGACCTGGGTGTTTGCCTGGGTCTAGTCTGAGGGTGGGTGGGTGGATCTGGTCGCAAGCAGTTTGCTCTTTGTGTCCATGAAAGAGCGCACTGTGCACATCTTTGTTCTCTAAGGGGAGCGACAGGAAGTCCCTTTTATTGGGGAGGAGGAAGGCATCTGTGACACAAGTCACTACAGTTCTTGCTTGTACTCAGCAAGTGGCGTGTGTCCAGTTTGCCACCCTGCAGTACTAGCTTCTAGTGCCAGCCTTTCATTATCTGCTGCTGAGAAGCCTGTGTGCTGCAGCAGCCTCAGTACCATCGTAGGGTTGGGATGAGAGCCGCACAGCTGTGTGAGGTGCCCGCCCGCCCACGGGTGTCTTCTTCATGTCAGCCTGGCAGCCCAGACTCGTCGTTTCCTGTGACAGGTGCAGGCCTGGGGTTGTGATAGCACTGTGGTCATTCCCGGGGACCTCCGGCACCCGATGCAGGTGGCCACTGTGGTCTCCCTGCTTTGTCTTCACAGCAAAGTTCAGGGTTTCCTTCTCATTCCTGTGCAGAGCGTACCCAGAGTTTGAGACTAGCTAGGTCATATAGCACCTCTTTTTTGAGGGGAGGGTGCTGCCTCGCCTGGAAAATATCCACCAACTGTGTGCCTGCATGTGGGCCTGGGCATTCTCTTATGCACCCAGTGGCACAGCTATATGATTGAACTAGATACCCAAGGAGCATAGCATCCCTCCAAGCTGGCTGTGTTGAAAGAGGCAGAGTTGACAAAGTGCAGGTGTGACTTCTGTGAGGGAGGGGAGGTAGGCAAGGTTGCAGCATGAGAAAGAGGGGCCCAGGGGCCTGAGGGACAGGGACAGCCGCTGCCTAGTTTGAATGAAAGAAAGGTAGCACAGGCGTGACAGGAATACTGCTGAGGACAAGTAGATGAGCCTCACTGGGGTCACGTGGGTCAGCATTCCAGGGGCAGCAGGAGATGCCAGGTAGCATTGGGAGACAGGAAGGGAGGAGGCTTCCACGGCAAAGGGCTGCGAGCCCCAGATTGAGGGGCAGGAGTGTCAGGACCCTGCTCTGACAACCGCTGCACCAGACTCTCCCACTGCGCCCGCCCAGGGCGCTCAGCCCCAGTGCCTGAGTGCTCTCCCACTCCACGCTCCCATGCGCTGTGCCTCTAGGAGTGTGCAGCACCAAGGCTTCACACCTGATTGCCGAGCCCTGAACGGGTTTCTCCAACCAAGCCATGCGCTTGCTTTGATGCCTGACTCCCCTTTTGGATTGAGGAAATAGTTAATTTTTTTTTTTAAAGTATGATTAAGCTTTAATAGGAAGCATATAGCTATCACAACATGGGCTTGAAATCATCATGCTACTGCTGGAGACAGTTGCCCTCACAGCCACAGCCTGATCGCCTGTGGTGGCTCAGATGGGAGGGTCCTCCTTCCAGAGGTGCTCAGTGGGAGGGTCCTCCTCCCACAGGTGCTCAGTGGGAGAGTCTTCCTCCCACAGGTGCTCAGTGGGAGAGTCTTCTCCTCAGTGAGAGCCAGTGGCAGCAGGTGAAATATGAGACTCTGCAGCTTTTAAAACCCATTTGTCTTCTAAGGGGCATTTGTTTTTTCATGTGGTACTTACCCATATTTTTAGAATTAGGGTTTTTTTTTTTTCAGTTTTAAAGTCAGTTTTATATTTTTTTAAATAAAAATTGAATTTATCTTTTTAAGAGAACTAATGAAATGTACCAAATAGAATGAAATAACGTGATTCTATGTTCAAAGGACAGCAAATGTCAGTCTTTTGGCTTATTGACTCTCAGCCTTATTTTCTGTGCTGAACCTCAAAAGCTCTCCCATCCACCCTCGTCGCTCCCTGTGTTAACAGTCTGCAGTTGTGAAGATAAAGGTAGGCCAATTCAGCGTGGCTCTCATACATATCAGGTTCGGTGACAACTAGTCCCAGCACTTTGGCAATGCTTCGGTAACACCATATTCACAGAAATAATCACTGGGCAGTTTGATGTGTAAGCCAGTTCCTGCTACAGAAATATGGAACCCAGGATCTGGCTGAAAATGACAGCCGTATCATCTATGAGGCAAACAAGCTAGGAAAGAAAGCTCAGGGCCCCCTCCCTCCTTCCCTTCCCTCTGTCCTCCATCCATCCTTCCTTCCCTCCTTCTCTTCTTACCCCCTCCCCCTTGTTCCCTGGATAATGTTGAAAGCTACTATCTTCATTATATAAGGGAAGTTGCTAAAGAATGCTAATGTGCTTTATAAACAGCACAGATGCAGCTGAGCTCCATATGTACAGAGTGTGCTTGTGTCTGTCGGCAGGTGTGTTAATGAGTCGTACTTGATGAAGAAGTGCTTACTGGAAGGTATTTTTCTGATTTTTTTTTTTTCCCCTTTTTTGCCTCAGTCCTATTTTCAGAGTGGATTTCAGTAACCCTACAGTGATGAGCTGTAATATTCTCTGTAATTGCCTCACCCCTCCTATTATACCAGGGCTTTTCTCGTGTGGCTGTTTCTATTCCTTTTATTGAGTAGCATGATATCATTTTGAATTTATTATGGACATATTTCTGTGCTGCTGGAAGGTCTAACTTCAACATATAGTCTGTTTGCACTGAGGCCAGCTGAAGAGATGGATGCCTAATTGCAGCAAGCAGCACACAGTAGTGCTGTCTGTTCATGAAAATGACACCATCATTTTGGATTGGAGTGAGGTCAAGAATTCCTTCAGTCCAGTTAAAAGCCACCGACTTTCTGGAGTTACCTGCAAACTGTGCAGGGTTGAAGACACGTGCAAGCAGGGACAGTTCTGCTCCCATCACCCTGGCATGGAGCTCTTTGCCATTGTGCGTCATTTCGGATGCTCTGGTGACACTTTATGTTGTGTAGGAGTTGCTGCTAGTATAGGAGTTCTGTCTGAGAGGTCTTCTAAAATTCAGCAGCTCTGTGAGAGGACACACGTGCTGTGTTTAGGTCCTGCGGTGTCCGAATGAGAATGGCCACCAAAGGCTCTTATGGAACTGTTTGGGAGGGGTTAGAAGGCATGGTCTTGTTGGGAGAAGTGTGCCACTGTGAAGGGGGTTCTGAGGCTTCTGGAGTTCAGGACATTCCCATTTAGCTCTATCTGCAATGCAATTGTGAATATAGATGAGACCTCACAGTTCCTACTCCAGTGCCATGTGATGGGAGATGTAACTCTGTTTCTCTAGGAGGTGAGAATTCGGGGAAATAAATGTAGGCATAGTCAGATGCCGTGTGAGACGGCAAATGGGTTAGAGGTCCAGACCCTTCTCCGGTTATGTAAGGCCACATGGAAATACACAGACTCATAGAAATATGTTAATACTTAAAACAGAGCTAGCCAAGTAAGAAGCCCTAGTCACCGGCCAACAGTGTTATAATTAATATAAGTCTCTTAGTGTTCATTTGGGCAAGTTGGCTGCAGAACCAGGCCTGTGAGAAGGACAATCATAATAGCAGCCATGCTTGCCTTCTGCCGTGTGTGTGTGTGTGTGTGTGTGTGTGTGTGTGTGTGTGTGTGTGTGTGGTGTGTATGTGTGTGTGTGTGTGTGTGTGTGTGTGTGTGTGTGTGGTGTGTGTGTGTATGTGTGTGTGTGGTGTGTGTATGTGTGTGTGTGGTGTGTGTGGTGGCCAGGCGTGCATGTGCTTGATGAGGTGGAGAGCTTCCCCTGGAGCTGGAGTTTTACACATGTAAGCTATGTGACTCTGGTCTTCTAGAAGAGCGGTGTGTGTTCTCACCACTGCGGGAGCCTGAGCCACCCCTCTAGCCTCAGAGATTCAGGGGAGGGGGAGCCCCGTGTCTGGCTGACCAACCCTGCAGGGTTGCACAAGTGTCGTGTGGTCTGACCTGCAGGCTCCCTGTGAAGAATTGGCTTCACTGTCCATCCTTCAGGCCCTACACAGATCGCAGCTGGCTTTTGAGTGGCTCCTGAGCCACTGAAGCTGTGGTTTTTCATGCACCCACTCAGGGCACAGTCGGCACCCCAGACTCCATTCCATTCAGTGAAGATGGAGTTCGGGCGCAGGCAAGGACAGGCCGAGAGGCTTGCTCAGCCATTCTCCCCTCGATGGTTGGCTCGGCTGCTTTGCTGTATGGCTCAGAAGAATCATTGATTGAGTTGAGAAAGCAATGTTACGGGTGTAAATTACTCAGAAAACAGTTAGGAAAAAGAGAAGATGAATTTCATTGTAGAGGTGGCGCTGGGAGAGTGGGAGGAAAGGGAAAAGCAAGAAGGAAGAAGATGTGGGCTGTGAAGACCCCACCCTAAGAAACCGGATGTGTCTCCCAGACTAGAGATGCCCAGCTCTGACACGGGGTGGGATGGGGGCGTGCAGAAGAATGTAGGAAGAAACACACAGACAAGAGTGAACCCTGCAATGGCAGAATGATCTGAGACAGAGTGGGAATGAGTCCTCACGGGACCACGTCATCAGGGTGCAGCAGCACTCAGACAGAAAATAAAAAGGTTGCAAGTCAAAGGACTTAGTAGACGGACATCAACGAACAGAGGCTGGAGCCACAGCAGAGTCCAGCATGGCATTGCAGGGGGCAAAACTGTGGGGAAAAGGGTAAGAAGGCAGGAGGGTACAAGTTGTCTTGACAGTGTGAGCGTGACGCATAAGGCAGGAGCAAGTTCAGACCATCCCAGGTAGATAAAAAGACTTGGTATTCCTAAATGTTAGTTCTCTCGACTTTTATCTACGGATGGACTTGGTGCTATCTGAACAACCAAACCTTGACTTTAAAGTTTGCAGAAGCTCAGAGGGCGTAGCCAGGCGTTAGGGAGGGCTCGGTGTTTTAAGAGTCAGTGAAAAGCCACCAGCATGTGACAGTGATGCCACATGCACACTGCAGATTGGTTTTGGACAAAGAAGCCTAAATAATTTGATGAGGTGGGATGACACA